GTTTTCATATCTTCGATTATGCTTTTTTGTTCTACTTAAACATTGATTTGACTTAGCTTATGGATCATTAGGATATCTCACACTTATATTTTTCTAATTGAGTATATTAATCTTAATTAATTTTTTCACAACATGAGTGCTTTTTCTTTTCACATTAATACTTTCTTCTCTTCTATTGCAGTAAAGTTATTATGGAAGCATTTATTATCAGGTATTAAATGAATATTTTTATTATCGTTAAGTTAGTCAAATACATGCGTCTATGAAAATCTTTTTTACATCTCTATCTAGCAATTCATTTCCTTATATCATGTCACTTTTCTCCAGGATTATTCAGATAATATAAATCCTATACTATATCTCCGCATTTGAAATGATGTGATGTTATTTTGCCTATTAGAATGATGAACCGGTTCTGGCCTTATCTAAGGATTTATCTTGATAGTCATTTATGGATGCATTCAATGACAATTTCGTTCAATATTTATTTCACCACTTGCCCACATCTTCGTAAATCCTAATTTTCTAAAAGGTACTGCCAAATACAATCCACTGTGAATAATGTCACAAAGGAACAGGCTATAATCCATTTATCCTCACATTCAAATTCGCTTACGAGCAGAAACGTTTGACTTTATCCTTACTGCATATTTGGATAATGCTTTTACTGTTGTGCCCTTCTAATTTATTTAAACTTTAAGGCAATATAAAAGTCATGGCAGTTTAAAGAGTCTGACACTCTTGTGATAAAAGATTAATGCTAACTATCCACTGGTGAAACTAGCATTAAGTTTATGGCTTCCCAAACAAGTCACGTACATTTGTCCGTAAGTGGTCTATTGTCAATTGCAATCTATTGCGTGCACATTGGTGACACTGTTTCCCCTTTCGTGATTGACTTTATAATTTATTTCGGATACCTATTAACCATAATTGACGCATCTTGCTTGCCATTTAAGAATGATTATATCATTGCCTGATCAATACATCGACATACACAAGTATTCACGTGATATACTTCTTTGGAATATATTTTAAAATAATTTAAAAAATTGGGCAATCTGACTGAAGTGAAATGGCTTAATTTGTGTGCCTTGTTCTAATTTTGCCTGTTTTTTTTGGCCTAATTGTCCCAGACATACTTTCTTATGTTTATAGGATCCCGATATTAAATACAAATATTATCTGGCCCGAAATTACTTTTCATTTCATAACTTCTTTTAATTTTGCCACTTGATTGGTTTCTCCCGTTTTCAAACATTTTATTTTGCTTGAATGATCCATAAGAGAATTGCTGTAAACTCGACTTTATTAAAAACATACTTATTGAAGCAGTGTTAATTACTTATCTATTATTAGTGATTGATCAAAGAGCAATCCATCCCTAGTTAACTTTCGCCATGTTTTTTTCTGCGGGAGAGTATTCAAATATTGTTTTGGAGATGTGTTCTAGCTGATATTCTATAATAATTTTGGGATTCTTAGCTATTTCTTTGTATGCATCAGTATCCTTTAGGTGTCGTGTTATTTTTTTATTAACCCATATTCTTACTTATCGCACTTTCCTTGTTTGTCTTAATAGTTTATAGATTTCAATATTTATTGCGTATTCATATTCCTGTCAGTAGACTTGCTTGGTCCGTCCAAATAAAATTAACTAAGAGGGATCACTCTTAGCATCATTTTTTTCTTGGCTGCATACGAAAACTAGGCTTTAATTAATTATTTCGACCGAATTATGCTAACAAGTTTCGTTAGTTTTTATTGTTTCTATCATTCAGCTAGAAGTATTGATTTTTGCATTGAATGCGGAGTTGTTTTGTGCTCCTCATAATAAGTGTAGGCATTTTTTGTTCTGCATTTTCTGACGGTCCTTTACCATTTGTGCAGCCTCAAACCTTTTTACTTGAGGGTATGAAGACCAAGATGGCCTAGATTTTTGTATTGTCCCGGTCTCCTTTCGTTCTATAGAAGTTGTTTGATCCTGGTTTCGCAACTTGGTCATATTGGCAGGAAGACCTAATGAGCGCACCTTGTCCGGAGTCAATAGTATGCAAAATAATTCCCAGAGTCGGATCATGGACTTGATATGCTCCCAGACGTTTCGTTGGCATTGTCAGTGGGCCTTGCCAATAATGCACCGATTACAGTAGAATTAAGAGGGACTGAATGTAGTTTTACTATCGTTATTTGTTGAGGTTGATGCATTCAATACAGAACCATCAAACTTTGCCCGGGTTAACTTTATCCCGGACTCTTTGTAACTCTGATCAGTTATATCCTGGAGTTTTTGAAAATCCTCTGGAGTGAGAACCCTGTCTAGATTTTTTCTAAATTCAGACTTAATATATATGACCTTAAATAGCTTACGCTTCTCAGTCTCGTAACTGGCCTCTAATTTCCAGATGGTGACATCATAAAGTATTTCATTAGCTGTCTCCAAATGACACTTCCTCATTAGGTTGCAGAACTTGGGAGTCATACGCTACTGTTTGCAGCAATTCAAGAAGGTCATTGGGCATGATTTACTTACAATTGTCTTCTTTGTTAAGCTATAATCGGTGCATTGTTGACAGGGCTCACTGATGATGCCGACTACGATGCCGGCGAAACGTCGGGGAATGTACCAAATATACGTTCCTACTCTGGAAATTATCATGCATACTATCGACTCTGAATAAGGTGCGTTAATCTAGGCTTTCCTACTAGTACGACCAAGTTGCGTAGGCAAGTTTATATATATATATATATATATGAAGACCAAGATGTTGTAGCCTATGTTATGGTCGCAGTATCCTTTCGATTTATATAAGTGGGTTAACCTCGTTGTCGCAACTTGGTCTTGTTGTCAGGGCGACTGTAGAACGCACCTAGTCCGAAGTCGTCTGCCATAGTAGTTGTCTTGATTCCCAGCATCTGACAGTGGAC